TTCATGCATGTTCTGGTATTGATTTTTTAATGGGGTGTGGCCAGTGGGCTGATGAGAGGAGAATAATAAGCTTGTGATATCAGGTATGAGAAGAGAGTTGTTGCAGTGTACAGAATGGCTTGTGTGCTATAGATGCCTGATGATGGGGGTAGGAAAGAGGATGGATTCAAATCAGAGGAAGAACACTGGGAATGAAGTTCGATGAACTAAGCAAGTGATCTTGCAAAACTTATTCTGCGGAAATAATGGTACACCCGTGGTATGTGATTCTTCACTGCTTCAGTGCTGTGAGATACTGCAAAGAGATCTGCACTTTTTAAAGCAGATCACAGTGTAGCAGAAAAAGCCCACATACCCACAGCTTGAGTTTCTGTTTGTTGCCCAGATAGCAGTGCCTGCTACAGTTCCTGATACTTTTGTTTCTCAGAATAGGCAGGTCACTGTGATGCCCAGGTGGTCAGTATGACACATATTGAGGGACCAATCAAAGACAGCCAAGTGCCCTACCTCTGTACTTCCCCTTTGTAACCTCACAAAAGCCTCTCTCCCTGAGCCTTTGGATCTCACATTTTTATAAGAACTGATTTCTTGTCGCTGCCCCAAAACACAAACAAATCTATCTCTGGATCTTGTGTTGCTGCCGTGTTTGAGTTTGCTATAGCAACAGCATGGTAGAAGAAAACGTTTCAAGGTAATTGAAAGGGGAATGTTAGTAACTTTCCTTGCCCTTCATAGGACTGACAAACACATGGCAGGGTGGGGTCAACTCTTATAAAAGTAATGTTTGAAATCTGGCCCCTTCCCCAAAAGAGCTGTGACCGCCTAAAAGACACAATGTTTTGGCCATTTATAATATCCTGTCCTAGAAGTTATTTTGATGTTCATTCAGCAGTTTAATTTTACATTTGAGAAAGAGAATCATTTTTAAAACTTTGTCTTGGCTCTATAGGATCTCCTTTTTTTCCCCTTTTCTTGGTGCGTCTCTCTGTGTGTCTCTGTCTCTGTTTCTCTTTCCCCCTTCCTCCCTCTCCCTCTTTCTCTCTGAAAAGAAGTGGCCCTGTAGAATTTTCTCGAAAAGAAAGAAATGGAGGCTAATGATACTTAGGAAGATGGGTGGTGTTGTGAGATGAATGCCTTAATTTTGACAGAAATTAGTCTGCATGTCTTGTTTGCTTGTAAAAAGTATGGAAAGAAAGATCTTTATGGAGAATAAAGCTGCATATGTCTTTGTGAGTGGTACTGAAGAATGGAAGCAAAAATGGCCCAAAAAAACCCTTGTGTACTTGCTGCTAAGTGTTATGAAGCATTTTCTGACAAGTTGTTTGCCATCATCGCATGATAGCTTTATTTCCGGGTATCACCAAATGAAGATTCTTCAGCTTCTCTCAGGTCATCCGCAGTATATAATGAGGCAGAATCACAATTTGGCTGCTCACATATGCTGTGCTACATTGATGAGAGATGTGACAGGACTGAAGTTTGTTTTGTCCAAGAGCTTTAATCTTCATGGAGGCAGTAAGACCAAGAGATCTGCATGATGCATCACTTCCAGATGATCCACTGAGTCTCAGGACAGGGGGATGGCTCTGCAGGAGTGACAGACAGGCTGAGGGGACATGCATACTCATGATATCCCCAAGGGAGTCTTCTCCATCCTTCTACCTCTGTGCCAGACACTCAGCAGAGCACACATCCCAGCTGCTCTGTTGTTTCCTTCACTCTTACTACTGGACAGAGGCCTCAGCTGCAACTTGTTCTTCAACCTCTCTCTCTCACACAGCGCAGTCTGTGCTGTGCTGCTCCCCAGAGAGCAGTGCAGGAGGGCAGCTGGGCATCTCTTGGCTGGGAGGTTTTTGTTTAGGGCTGTGTCACTGTGGTAGGATGTTTTGTATCTTGTAAACAATAATAAACTCCAGTGTCCTCAGCCTCCACCTTGCTGATTTTTAGTGTGAAATCTGTCCCTGAGGCACTGCCACTGAACCTGTCTGAGATGCCAGGAAACCAGCTGGAAACTTTATAAATCATGCCCTGAGGAGCCTGGCCTGGCTTGTGCAACATCTAGCTCAAATAGGTGTTTCCATCACTATGCAAGAGGCTCTCACTGGACCTGCAGGAGATGGAGGCTGCTCTCCCGGAGAGATGGAGAGAGATTGTGGGGTCTGTGTCATCACATCTCCTGTGGATCCTAAAATGGTGAAAGAGAAATGCAAAATCATGAATCAACTATCATGGTTTTCTCTTTCCTGCCATTATCAAGCTAAAGTATTGTCATATACTTTATATATATATATATATATATATATATATATATATATATAAATATATATAAATATATACTTTATATATATAATATATATATATATATATATTTTTTTCTAATCACAAGAATCACAAGAATCCCTCTAGAATTGGTATGAGCAACCCTCTCTTTCTTTTTTGGAAGTCTTCCTGATAGGTCAGGTCCTGAGTCCTTTAAGAATTTTCTTCACTCTGATCTAACCTCACACACCCATGGTTCAAGTGAGGGCTGCACATCTCAGGTGTGGACAGAAATCATTTGAGTGGCAGTGGGACCCCGAGGCTCTCCCTCTCACCTCATGCCCCTCCTGATATCCCTGTGTCCTTACCAGTGATCCAGAACAGTAGCAGCCCCAGGAGCTGAAAAGCAAGCCTCATTTCATGAAACTGAACTGAAGAGTCCTGATCAGTTAAGGGAAAGCTAGAGCCAGCTTATATCTGAAACTTTCTTGGGAAGGTCCTCCCTGGGGACAAAATGCAAATTCCATGGTGGGTGCAGTGGTGTAGAAAGAGAGACCAGCATGGTGGGAGGCTTCTCATGTGAGCCCAGTGGTATAAAATATCTCTGCATTGGGAGGAAAACAATAGAGCTACAGTCCATGCTGTGTCCGAGTCTCCATCAGGTACAGAATATTCAGGGCTGTGCCCATCCCAGACAGGACTGAAGTCCCCAGGATATGGGGGCGTGTGCAGATCAGTTTCTGGGAGGGGAAGGCTCGTGCTTCTTAGCCTTGGGAACAAAGAAATTCTCACTTCATGAGAACTCATCTTAATATTTTTTTAAATGTAAGATCTGATAGGAGCAGGTAAACTCTCATCATCTTATATTTATAAGTATTAGAAAAATATTTTATATGATCTAGAAATTAAATGATATAAAAGCACCAAAGTTAAAAGAAGTATGATACAGAGTAAAATATTTATCTTCAAGTTGTAAATTTGCTTCTCCATGGAACGCAAAAGGGAAAAGGAAAAAAATATATGCCCTACATAGTGGATGTGAATTTGCTTGTGAATAGGTTTTGAAATTTGTAAATTTCTAAGGATGCCTGTTTCCTTGTAGAAATGTATACACACAGTTGCCCACAAACACACACATTCTGGATTTATCAAAACCTTTCTTGAAGAAAGATTTCTCTTGATTTTAACATACAATGAAAAATTGTACTACTGTTCAGAATGATCATAAAATATCCTTCTCATATCTACTGTTCCTTTTAATAGATATTACACAGCTACAGCCCATAGTTTAAAGCAATATTCTAAACGTCAGAATGTCACCATTGAATCAAGGTTTTACCATCTCAGAGTAATTTGAGCCAGTGACTGACATGGCCCTGGAGGGTATCTGAGGTGGTCACGTGGAAAGGGGTCAGTTTGAGAGTCCCATCAAAGCTGTGAGAGAGTAAAGCCACGCTGTCACTGGTCTGTAGGTGAGATGATGGGTTCAATGAGGGGAAGAGCACTGGAAATCAAGCTCTATGAACTGAGCAGGTGACCTTGCATAATTTATTATGAGGAAATAATAGTACATGGGAGGCATCAGGTTCTTCATCATCAGTTTTGACTCTGAGGTTTTACAAAGACATCTGCATCTGGTCATTTTTTCTTTTACTCAGGAGATTATTTCTACTTTAAATTCCTTTAAAGCTTCCCGGAGTTGCTTCTTTACTTAAGTTGCTATTATTTCAGCTATTTCAGGTGTATGGCATATATTTTCTTCTGTGTACATTGCTCCTAGGGTTTCTTGGGATGGGCTGGATTTTTCAGATTGTATTTTGGTCTTTTGTTTTGTCATTTTCCTATATTTCTGTGTTTCAAGTGTTATTGCAAGGCTTCCCCCGGGCCTGTTGGAAATCCTCTTCTATTCCCTCAGGTCCTGGGCCTTTGGCCACCCAGGTCCCCAGATTGAGAAAGGGTCACTGGGGGCGGGGCAGGTCAGCTCAAGATGCACTGAGCTGGTCCAGTGCCACAGGAAGCAGTAAAGTTCCCTGTCCGGGGCCAAGCTAGGATCCCAAACTAGCTGGGCTCAGGGGATGGTGTGGGCACACTCACCCCAGGCTGCCCAGCCTCTGGAATTGTTGAGGCTGGCAGGCCCAGAACTCCAGAGTCCTGTTCCTGTTCTTGAACTTGGATGGGGAACCCCGCCAAAAGCCGCCTTTCTAGTTGTTGGGCAATTTCCCTTCCCTGACTCCTCAGGACTGCAGCTGGAATAGACCTCAATGATGCACTTTTAAAGAAAGAAGTAGTTGATCATTGAAAAAACATCATGGGAAGGCAAGAAAAACAAACAAAAAAAAAAACAAAAAATAGAAAACATACCAACTGAATAGTGAAAATGGAAGCAGAACCCACCAGAAAGTATGTGTCCAGCAAACGTATTTATAAGTGAGCATGTTACAGGAGCCTTCAAATAGAAAGATCTCAATAACTAATATCATAATTCAGACATTTATTTAAGTTCTCCTTAATTTAGAGAAAAGATATAAGCATAACTGACATCCTCTTAGTGAACTAGGTAGAAAGAGAAAACTCAAAGAAATGCAGTTTTCCTTTACATTTAAGGCTTATATCACTCTTTGGGAGCTGAAAAGGAATCTTCCCTGCTTTCCTTTAATACTTACATCATTAGCCCTCATCTATAGTTTCCAGTGCAGGTTTTAACTCCTGTTTTGACTTCTGCATTTTGGGTTACATTGCAGGACCCAGGCTGCCTTCTTCTGTGAATATTCATTGCCTGATGAGACTGCAGCTAAGACTGAATCCCTGACCTCCAGAATCTCACAATTCATCTGTCCCTAGAACACTGAAGATTGGAAGACTGATGGCATCTTGAAATTCTGAAGTTCCACTCCTCATGCCTATTGCCACTCCATGTACATTTATTAATCTCCTGTGGAGTTTATCAGGCAGTTCCACCTGGCAATACAGCACACTGGTGCAAGATAATGACAAAGAGAGAAAATCCTACAGTTCAGGAGCTCTGGGAACCAATGTTATTCATGGAACTAGAGGCCATGAATTCCAAAAGTTCATGGCTTTTGTCAGTATCAATCAGAGATGTGGGTCGGGGTCATGGCTGAGCGTTTAGAAAGAGACACTTTGCAGGCATTGGCTGTACCAGCCACAGAGGCTCTCCAATTAGACAGGATATTTGATGCTTGCAAATCTGGAACCTTTCCTTCTTGGATGGTGTAATTCTTCCTTAGTCCCAATGCTTCTGCTGAGATACTGTCTTATGTGTTAGCCCTGGAATTGCAGAGGCCACTCCTGGAGCCCCCATTCCAGGTGTCAACACTGTGGGTAATGATTACCTGGGCTTGATCTCATTCTTCTAGCTGGATAAGGAAACCACCAGCTCCATATAACCAGCTCAGCATATCTCAATGAATAGAGTTGAAGGACAGGCAAAGGGGCTTGTTTCTCTGGAGAGCACAGCTTGGCAGTCTCCCATAGACATCAACACAAACTCTCTTGTGACTCATTCAAGTACATGACACTTATCCTCCTTTTACTTTTCTCTCTCATCTCACATTCAATATGTCTGTAAAGCTTATTTGCTCTAATTTTAAAATATGACCAGAATCTGTCCGCCTTTCAATACATCTACTGATGGGTCAAAGCTCTGACATGTGAGCACATTCAGACATGGATAAAAGTATCAGAGGAGGTGAATGGGACTTTTAATATTACTTTGGAAGTAGGGCCCAAAGGCCAACTTTTAGAACAGATATTATTGTCCCATTATCAAACTCTTCATTTTTGAAAGGCCACACCAGGAAACAAGCACCATCTGAGAACCAGTGCCTTGCAGGCTGCCACTGGTCTGTGGACAGTCAGTCCTCAGCCCCTTCCAGCTTGCAGGATGACAAACAAGAAGTATCAGTGCACCCCCCACAATTTCCCCAACCCAGAAACACAGGCTGTCATGATAGCTATCAATGTGAAATGCAATTGGATGCCTGTGGTGCTTTGATGTTTCACTGATATTGCAGATATAGGGCCAGTGGTCTGATCGTAGGTTCAGGGGATAGCTGTACACAAGGTGACAGCTAGAGAGGATCTCCTTCTGAGGGTTCCATCCATTGTTGATTCTCTATGGTCTAGTTTTGAAAGTCATATATTATTTCCATTCTTTTGTTGGGTTAGGTTTTATTCTCTCTCTCTTTTTTTTTTTTTTTTTGATTATGTTAAGTCGGATGGCAAGAGCAGCTGTTTCAAAGACAGCAGTATGTATTATGGTAGCAATTTTGGATTTACTATTGGCTTGTTTTGAATTTCTTTATTGCATTTATTGTTTTGTTTTTATTGTTTGTATTTTACTCTGTTCTGTTTGATTTTTACTATGTCCAAAGATCTCTTCAGCTATTTTGAAGACAACAAAAGGCATTCTGTTAATTATTGCTGATTTTGTAATGTATTAAAATGTTGTATCACTTACACTGGTTTATTTTCATTGGTTTTGTTCTGTTTTATTCTCTTTAAAAATAATTTAAAAACAAACTTGTCGCTTTCTCTCAGTCTACTTTTAATTTTGGGGAAGCAGATATCTTGAGGGATTTTAACAATAAGGAAGATACTGGGGCCTAGAGATTTATCAAGTGTCACAAGGATAGGTTGTATTGATGGCTGTTTAATCCTAGAAGTAGTAGGATGCAACTTCCTGTTAGCTTGTAAAAATCTTAGAAAGAATCTTGTAGTGACTAAACTCTTCTGTGTCTTAGTGAGTAATAATGCACAACAAAGGAACAAACATTTATAAATTCCATTTCCCATTGTTATGAAATGCTGTGAGAAATTTTCTCACAGGACTCATTTGCTCCTATCCCATGGTTGCTATATGCCTGCATATCACCAAATGAACACCCTCCAACTTCTCTGGTTAGATCCAGTGCACAATGATGCAGAGCCCCACTTTGGATGTCCACCTTTCCCTTGCTGCATTGATCAGAAAGATGTGGCGTCACCCAAATTTTATTTTTGAGCTGAAAACTTTATTAATCTTGGAGTCTGTAACAACTGAGAGCCCGGCATCAGGATCCATGTAGGGCCAATGGAACCACACTTGGTAGCCCAGATGTGATCTGTCCCCTCTGGCCTTGTGAGCTGGGAGCAGATCTCCAGGAGTGACGGGCATCCTGAGAAGACAATGTATGGCTGTTAATTCCCTCCTGGGTAACATGATAAGAGGGCAGTGAAAGGGGACTGGGGATTTAGCTCAGTGGCATAAGTGCCTGCTTGCAAGCAGTCAGTCATGAGTTCGATCCCTGGTACCAATAAAAACAAAAAAGACCAAAAAGAGAGAGAGAGAGAGAGAGAGAGAGAGAGAGAGAGAGAGAGAGAGAGAGAGAGAAAGGACAGTGAAAGATAAAGTACTAACCTTTTAAGCCATTTCCATTTTATTAATAATTTTTGGCTAAATTCATGTTTATGTGTTTCTTTTGGTTTTATTAATTTTCACAAAGGAACAGAATTTTAAAGGCCTAAAGAAACTGTAGTGCTCAGTTGCATCCTTCTCCCTCTGTGTCAGATCCCTCAGCAAAGAACATATTCTTGTTACACTGTTGTCTTCCTCAATCTTCCTCCAGGGCAGAGGCCTCAGTTGCAACTTGTTGTTCTGATTCTTCAGCCCCTTCCTCTCACACAGAGAAGTCTGTGCTGTGCTGCTCACCAGCGGCAGTGCAGAAGGGCAGCTGGGCCTCCCCAGGCAGGGAGGTTTGTGTCCGGGGCTGTAGCACTGTGGGAGGAACATGTGTACCTTGCTGACAGTAATAAACCCCAGCATTCTCAGCCTCCACCCTGCTGATTTTGAGTGTGAAATCTGTCCATGACCCACTGCCACTGAACCTGTCAGAGACCCAAGAGTCTCTTTTGGAAACCTCATAAATGATGAGCCTTGGAACCTGGCCTGGCTTCTGCACAAGCCAATTAAAATATGTTAATCCATTACTATACAGGAGGCTCTGACTGGACCTGCAGGAGATAGTGGCCGGCTCTCCTAGGGAGACGGACAAAGAGTGTGGGGTCTGGGTCATCAGAACATCTCCCGAGGATCCTAAAGTGATGAAGGAGAAGTGCGATATCATAAACAAATATCTTGAGCCATGTTCATTGTTTTCCTTTTTTCATATCTATCAGTCTGAATTATTTTTGTCATTCTGATTTGTGTACAAAAGCATTCAGTTTGAAGAATGGGGTCCTAGAATAGCAGCCACAAAGGAGCCCATAGACTTCTCCTGCAGCATCTCTCTTTTTTGTGTAAAATCGTCAGCAGAGGATAGAGTTCTTGTTCCCTAGGAATCCTCCTCACTCCGCAGACTAGATCCTCCTCCCCTCTTCATGCTGCAAACCAGGCCATGTCAACATGTTCTAAGCACATCTGGGAAGGAGGGGCATCCAGAGCCCAGCTCTCAGCCCATCTCTCCCTAACCTCCAGGTGTCCTTACCAGGCAGGCAGAGCATCAGCAGCCCCAGCAGCTGAGCAGGGAGCTCATGTTGAGAAGGTGGACTCAGAGTCCTCATTCCCCAGGGCGAGGTGACAGCGGAGCTCTTATCTCAGACTGGCATAGGCAGTTCCTCTCTGAGGAGCAAGATGCAAATGCCCTGGTGGGTGCAGTGGTGTGGAAAGAGTGAAGGGGCAGGCGGGGACCTCTCCTGTGAGCTGGTGGTAGAAACTGTCCTGTGTTTGGAGGAAACCTGAAGAGATAAAGTCCCTGCTGTCTGCAGCAGTCGGCATGAGGACTGCCATGTGAAAGTCTGCACCTGTGACAGGAGCATGAGCACCATCTTCCTGTCACCCAAGGCAGCACCCAGATCCTGGGAGATGCACATGTATGATCAGATCATGGTCTAGGAGGAAAAGCCCATGGTGCTTAGCCTCCGCCCTAGTTTCAAAGGAATCCACACCTTACAGTGATCTTCAGAGATTTCTGCCAGAGCAGGGTGGAGTGGGGCTGTAAAGACTCAAGCCACGGCTGTTTCCATGTAAACTCTGTGAGGATGATAAGTGTGTCAAGAATATTCTTTCCTGTATTTGGTGGCTAAACTGGATAAAAACAATCATTTTGAAAGAATCCATATGTTGTTTTCTGACATATGCCAAATAACCTTGTGCAAATCAAGTGGAAATTTTGAAGAAATTATGCCTTCTATGTTGAATATAAAATTCTTGTTAAGTATGTTTTAAAAATTATGAATACTCTGTTGTATTTATTTCCATTGAGATTTTTTGTCAACTTACTTACATTTCAGTATAAAATCTAATTCATGTGCTTGTTTTATCAAATATGTATCCATATACAAAGGTGTGGATGTGTCTATGCCACACACACACACACACACACACACACACACACACATCAGATTAATAAAAATATTTCTTAAAGCAAAAATTCCCCTGAAGTCCTGTGTGGATGGAGGAGGCATAATTTTATAGCTGTGTTTCTAAGTGGTCATTAAGTCCTTGTCATCATGTGTTTTATTGTCCTAGCATTGTGCACCTGCAGTGCTTGTGTGAAAAGGAGCCCACGTGTGAGGACATCAGAGTGAACCCAGGTTTCTTCCTGTCTCTGCGCAGTGTGAATGAGTGAGCAGCTCTGGCCAGGATGATCCTGGGAGCGGTGCTGGGTCAGACCTGCTGCAGATTTTCAATTTCAGACTCCTTCCTCCAAGCCGGGGAGATGAAGCCTGGTGCTGAAATCCTGAAGGCCATGGCATTTTTAAAATGACAGTTATGCCCTCAGAATTGTGGAAACTGGATATTTCCTCATGTTTGCTCTCATTTTAAATGCAGAGCTCCAAATGTTTCCCCCTGCTTTTCTCCTCCATCTTCTCCTTTGTGTTTTTACTCTCTGTCCTTGGGGTTGAACCCATAGTCTTTACACTAAGCTGTATCCCAGCACCTTTGAATATTATTTTTTTATCTTATGAGACAGAGTAATCTTAAGTCACTAAGATTGTCAGTTTAGGATGGCACTTGCTGTCCTCTTGCCTTAGGCTCCCTGAATGCTATGATGACAGACTTCTGCAACCTGGCTTGTGTCTTTGTCTTCTGAGTGTTTATATTCTCTGTAAATACTCGGAAATGTTGGTGTGATTTCATGTTTGACATTTCTAGGCTCTGTTTTGTTCTTTGTGAAATGTTACACAATGTTACACTAGCATGTTTGCAATGTATAATGATCACATTTATTGTGTGTGGTAGGTACATGTACATAGCATACCTTAGTGTATTTCCCCTTCTCCTCATTTTTAGATTCTGTGCTTCATCTGTCTAACCTGAGTTAAGAGCAACCAGTAACATGAAAGAAAAAAAGGTTTGAATTTATGGGAACAGACACAGAGCAGGGTTTTAAAGTTTCAAAAAATGTAGAGAAGATATGAGAACTTGATGGAAAATAATGGGCACATTGATTCAGCTTTCAAATTCTTGTCCTTGGAAATTCAATAGTCCTTGAGCCAGGCTCAAGGGTGTGCAATTTGGGTGTGTTACTGTTGGCTGTGGCAGCAATCTTAGACCAAATTTGAATCAGATTCTAGAATTTGTAGTACATTATCTAGCTAAATGAAATAAATGGGAGCTCATATTAATGAAATCAATACTCATATTTTCAATAATATTACTGTGCTAACGCTAAATTTTCAATTATGAGTTTTAAATTTACACTGCTTATAAAATACCATGAAATATCAATATTATTGTTGATTAATAGCTTTTTGTTAGTTTCACTTTTCTATATAATACTCTTTGATTTCTTCAATATGTTTTTCCATTTCCAATTCTGGTTCAGACCTTTTGCTCTGTGTCATTTCTAATTTTTACTTATAATTGAATTATTTTGTGTGTGTGTTTTAGAGATAGCGTTTCATTGTGCAATTTATGCTGGTCTTGAATTCACTTTGTAGCCCCGGCTGGCCTCGAACATGCAGCAATCCTCCTGCCTCAGCTTCCTGAGTACTGGGCTACAGGGAGGCGCAAATGTGCCAGGTTGAATTATTTTTGAACTGCTAGAATCTCTGAATGTGTGGTCTATGATCCTTAAATTGTTATTTGTAAAAGCTTTTACATTGTGAGTTATTGATGAAAAATAATAATTCCTGTCATTGCATTATTTTTCTGTTTCTCATTTTTGTTTTTCCTTTTGATGAACTTCTCACTTTTTGTAGTGCTGGTTTCATGGTCATGAATTTCTTTAATGGCACTTTGTCATGAAATTTCTTTATTTGTTCTAAATTTGGAAAGATATGTTTGTACAATATTATAATGCACAGTGAAATGTTCTTTTGGACTTGATGCATTCCTCCTAGTTCGCCTGTCTAAAACTGAAGTCCATTTTGCATTCTTGTGATTTGATTTATTGTCCAGATTTCATAAAATGCCAGGAATTTGCGAGGCACACGAGGAACCTGCGAAGTCACCCTCATTCTCCCCTATTTATTCAGGATTCACTGAAGCACAGGTCCTTGTTACTCATGGCCTCTTTCCGCTTAGTCTTCTCTATTGACACTGTAGACTCTGGGTCATCTGTTCTTCTGCCGTGTTTGTCTTTCAAGGTCATTACAATCGATAAGGTTATTAATGAATTGTGTTTGGTAGGCAGCTGAGGTACCTCGGAGATACAGACCTTAGTCACAATTTGCTTCTTTCGGGCCATCACCGTCTTTGTTTTCCACAACCTCAAACAACTGGCTGTGCTGTTCCCCAGGCAAGTAGCACAGGAGGGCAGCGGTCCACCCCAATCAGGGAGGTTTATGTTGAGAATCTAACAGTGCGGGAAGAGCTTGTGGACCTTGCACGCAGTAATGAATTCCAGCAGCCTCAGCTTCCACCCTGCTGATTTTGAGTGGGAAATGTGTGCCTGGCACACTGCCACTGGATATTTTGAGACATAAAGAAATTCATGACCATGAAACCACTTTTCTTAAAAGTGTTATAAATCATACATTATGAAGGGTGCCCTGGCTTCTGTATAAGTGAATTGAATAGATGTTTCCATCATGGTAGAGGAGGCTCCAACTTGACCTGCAGGAGATGGAGGCCAAGTCTCCAGTTGTGATGGACAGTGAGTAGGTTGTGAATCATGTCGATAACACAGTGTATCCCAAAGTAATGAAGAAGCATTAGTTCATTTTTATTGTTTTCTCTTTCTTGTAAGTTTCAAGCTACATTATTTTTTATTTTGATATATAATGAAAACTATTCAAATTTTATAATTTAATTAAATTTATTGGTGAATTTTAAGTATACATGCTGATCACAGTCTTCATCGGGAATTGGTTCCATACATGATATAAGTTGATTCTTTTATCTCCATTCCTCTCTACTCTCCTCAATCCTTGATCCCTTCCTTACTTACTAAAGCTTTGTTTCCATTTTTCCTTCTTTTATCATTTTTATTCTATCCTTCCCTTATTAGTTCCCCTTCCCATTTGAACATTTTCTTACTATTTCACATGTGTTATATTTTTTGTTACTCACTTACTCTTTTGCACTCTCATGGTGGAGAAACAATGTGGTATGTACCCTTGTGTGTTCAATTTATTTCACTGAATAGGATGGTCTCAGTGTGCACTCATGTAGATAGAAATGTCTCAAGCTTAGGCTTCTTTATGGCAGAGCAGCAGTGCACTATATAAACCCCCACATCTCCTTTACCCATTTCTCAGTTGATGAACATTTGTTTTGCTTCCAAGTCTTGAGTAATATGAAGCGTGCTGCTTTAAACATGGGTGTTCATGTCTTATTATGGTATGATTATTTGAATTCTTTTGAGAAGATATGAAGATGGAAAAAAGCTAGGTGGAATGTATCCTCTTGTCCTAGTTTTTTGGGAAATCTTTACACTGTTTTCCACAGTGCTTGTGTTAGTTCACAGCCCATCAACAGTGGAGAAATCTTCTTTTTATCCCACAGCCCCACCAGCACTTGTTTTGGGCTCATTTTTTGATGATACTCTTCCTTTCTGCGGTGTATGGAATCTAAACATTGTTTTAATCTCTTGAATCACCAGAGACATTGAATAATTTTTCATATGTCTATTTGTCAATTGTACTTCGTCAACTGAGAAATATCTATTCATTTCAGATCCCACTTTTGGATTGGGCATCTTTACATTTGGGCATGTAATTTATTAAATATCTCCTTATATATTCTATAAAATAGTCCTTTTCTAAGAAATGGATGGCAATTTTTTTCCCACTGTGTGGGTTGTCTCTTCATTCTGTGGGTGGTTTTTCTTGATGTGCAAATGCTTTTTAATAAAATGAAATTCCAGTTGTTGATTCTTTGTGATATTCCTGTGTAACTGGGACCTTGTTCATAAAATCTTTGCCTATATCTGTCTTCAAGAGTTTCACATATTCTATCTTCCTGAAGAGTTAGTGTTTCTGTTTTAATATTTAGATCATTCATTCCTTTCATTTTGAGTGTAGTGCATGGAGATAGACACTGATCTAGTTTAAGTCATCTGCATGTGGAAAGCTGTTTT